CTCTTCATTGCTTATGGCACAGTTATTCGACATTTAATAGGTAATACATTACCTTACCATTATTACTTCATAAAATTCAATTTCCAGCTTCTGCTACAAAGCATACCGGGCAATTCCGTACGTTTTGGAACTACGTTCAGTATTAGACTGGATGGCCAGCGATAGTTCCTTAAGCTTGTTAAATTGGTTTAAACTAGAAGACATAACTTATCGGTTATTTTCATCTAAGGTAAAATTGAACTCAATAGTATTACATGGACTTACTTTCAAAGCCACGTGACTTCTTCAGCAGCCTCTAGTGTCAATGACGTCACTTTTCCACCATCCCTTTATTTCTTTAGTCATCTTCTTCAACACCCTCTAGTCATTGTCTATGATGCTCACGAATGGCCTTGAAAGTGTGGTCTTGTTAGTAGAGTAACAAGGCGGATTCCACAGCGGAGGTGACGTAACACTCGTTCTGGGGCCCACGCCCGTCATCAGAGAAGCCCCAAATTGAAGGGGGCCTAACATAGGTGGGCCGTTGCCCCATTTTTTCGTGGGCAAGCCCCAATTTGAAGAGGCCTAACCCAAGTAGAAAGCCCCAATTTAAAGAAGCCTAACCCAAGTGACGCCAGCAAAGGGGTCCAATTTTTTTCGTGAGCCCCATTTTTTTTGGCAAGCCCCAATTTGAAGAGAACTAACCCAAGTGACGATAGCAAAGGGGCCACATGCTTGCCCCCGCTACTAGACCCGTGGTCCCATTTTTTTCGGGGGGGGGGGGGGGCATTTACATGAACTCATAACCTGAAATGAGATACCCCATACGAGATGACAGGTACGTGCGACGTTGTCGAAACTAATAATGTGCGACGTTGCCAATAAAATTTCCCTAAATCTAGGGAAAATCGGAAAGGGGCCACTTGTCTCCGCTACTAGACCCGCGGTCCCATTATCCGTATATGGAACCAATACAGGCCTCAAATTTTGGGGCGCACGTAGCCTAGAACTCATAACCTGAAATTTGATACCCCATATCTCGTGCTGGTAACCTGAAATTTGTACAACGTACCTAGAACTCATAACCTGAAATTTGATACCCCGTATCTCGTGCTGGTAACCTGAAATTTGTACAAAGAACTCGTAACCTCAAATTTGGTACCCCATAACTCGTAACTTGTAACAAGATACATCGTACGATCAGACAATAATTATTCATGCGACATCATCATTCGAAATTTGGTTTCACGCCGGCCGCCGCCGAGACCCAAACCACAGGGAATTTTTTCAGCAAGCCCCAAATATTATTTTTAAAATAATTATAATTTCTATCGCTCATAACAACAACAACAAGTTGTGCGAACTTGCTTAATCCTGTTATAACTCTAACGGAAACCACATTTCCTGGCGATAACGAATCGCAGCTGGCTGGCCTGGTACTTGTTATTCATTTTCAAATTTTAGTTAGATTCTAGCGTCCTTAAGTGACACAATGTTTTTCAGTGCTCATCCAGATCGAATTTTTCAACGAAAACCTAATTCAAAATTGGGCGTTGCCTCATTTATAATTGATTGTGTATTTAGTGCTAAAAACTATGTAAGTAATTTTCCATTATTCTTACTCTGATAATAATAAGTTGTTATTTCTAGTTTAATAAGAAAATCAAAATTTCCCAACTTTGAGGCTTGGACTCTTGAAATGTGTCTATGAATTTTGAAATTATAAGTATATTATTTTCAGTTTATAGCAGTTATTACATTTTTATATTGTTAATTAGACACAACAACAACAACTCCAAGACATCTCAACAACACCTCGAAGACAGCTGCAAGACACCTTCGAGACAGCTTAACAACACCTCTAACACCTCGAAGACAACTCGAAGACAGCTCCAAGACAACTCCGAGACAGCTAAACAACATCTTCAAGACAACTCCAAGACATCTCAACAACAACAACAACAATGGTTGATGTAGGTGAGCATGTTAAAGAAATTTTGAAGCTTAGCGAGGAAATTATTGATGTTTTTGAAAAAGCCTATATTGAGATTGTTAGAGATTCCAATGAGTCTGAAAAACGTATTCGGATCAAGCATGTAAATACGTCTATTAGGCAAATACTTTCTATATATCATTAACAAAGTTCGAGTATGGATAATGGATTTGGAAACAAAAAATTTTACTTCAAAGGTCTTATCTATTCATTCCGTATTACCGTTTTTACCTAAATTTGAAAAAATTACTGCAGTTTATGAAAGACCTTCCGAAGAAATCATAATTATTATTGAATCTGAAATATTCACAATCAATGATAAAAACTTTCAGTTAATTAATCGATCAAAGGTTTCCGAAATAATTGCTGCTCAATTCAACAATAGGAAAATAATAGGTGCGGTAAATTCGTATACTGGAAAAACTATTTACTTTTTCGAGGATAATTACTACATAAAAATAAATGAATGTAACTTTGGTGTGGAAAAGTTTGGTTACATTTCGAAGGACCTTATTGGAATACCTTCATCTATAGATAGTGTTTTTAGATACATTAATGGGATGCTATACTTTTTCCAAAATGGCCGATATTTCGAATATAATGAGTTTACAAATTCTTTAAGGGCATTAGATAAAATTGATTTATTAAAATTTGATATACAATGCCCCAGTCTAACTTTGTATGAACAATTAAAAGAACTATTGACACGCTTATTATTGGTTACGTAGATAAAAGGTAGCGTTCAGTCGTACTCCAAACCATGAGCACACTTGCTGAGAGAATTCAAAATCATTTAGTAAATCTCTCTAAATTGAAAAAAGACTGAGACTTTTATCAACAAAAACAAAAAAATTTCGAAAATTTAAAAATGGATTCGAAATGGGTTGGAGTATTTTCATCAACTTCCAGATTTGCAAATGGACCAGCAACAAGCAATCGGAAAATCGTTCCAAAACCAGTTTATCAAGAATATAATATTGGGGACATTGCGCAAATTATTTATAATCCTGAGAAAACGTACATTATCTTACATGATAAGAACGACACTTCAATTCAATTTAACTACAACAAATTTGAGGATTTTTTACAGTTTTTCGATAATATAAATGATGGATGGCATGATACAAGCTTCTATATTGGCGAATTCATTTACGTTAGCTATTGGAATGAGGAAGAAAGTAAAGGCTTGACTATGGTGGATAAGCGAACAATGGAAAACATTTGTCATCTTGATTCAATTTTAGAGCATAAATATAACTTGTATGATATTTGTCTTAAATAAAAATAAAAATTCAAACGTGTTCTTTCCCTATAGCAAAACCCACAATAACTTGTGTAATATTTTATAAATAAAACAATTATTAGATAATAACAAGTGCTTTTATTGTCATATAATTACAAAAATCCTCTCTGACTAGTCTGATTTCTTATTTGGTGGTCTTGTTGAGACGTTTTGTTGTTGTTGTTGTTGCTCAATTCCATTAGATCTAGAAAATCAACATGATTAGTTTCAGTTCAATAATTTATATAGTATACTTACAATTCAATAATTTCAAAAATGGTTGTTGAATTCAAGCCTTCAATTGCTTTCATACCCTTGAAAATTAGTGCATATTTCCCATTCTCAAAGTAACCAATATTTTGACTTATCGGTTCGGTTGAACGTTGTGGGAGAAAAGTGATATTTTTTTCTAGTTCCACTCTCGCTACCTCTCCAAATTTTGAATTAACAATTACAATCCTTATAATGGGATACGGATGATTTGGGGCTAGTTCCTTTAATTTCAAATATGGCTTTTCCTCAATACAGGCGGCTTGGTTTATTTGATCTAAATTCATGATTGTCTATGGAAAATAGAACAACGTATTATTATCAGGGTCTTTAAGAATATTGATAAAATTACTTACATAGTTTTTAGCACTAAATACACAATCAATTATAAATGAGGCAACGCCCAGTTCTGAATTAAGTTTTCGTTGAAAAATTCGATCTGGATGAGCACTGAAAAACGTTGTGTCACTAGAATCTAACTAAAATTTGAAAACGAATAACAAGCACCAGGCCAGCCAGCTGCGATTCGTTATCGCCAGGAAATGTGGTTTCCGTTAGTGTGATAACAGGATTAAGCAAGCGATAGAAATTATAATTATTTTAAAAACAATATTTGGGGCTTGCTGAAAAAATTCCCTGTGGTTTGGGTCTCGGCGGCGGCCGGCGTGAAACCAAATTTCGAATGATGATGTCGCATGAATAATTATTGTCTGATCGTACGATGTATCTTGTTACAAGTTACGAGTTATGGGGTATTAAGTTTGAGGTTACGAGTTCTTTGTACAAATTTCGGGTTACCAGCACGAGATACGAGGTATCAAATTTCAGGTTATGAGTTATAGGTACGTTGTACAAATTTCAGTTTACCAGCACGAGATACGACGTATCAAATTTCAGGTTATGAGTTCTAGGCTACGTGCGCCTCAAAATTTGGGGCCTGTATCGGTTTTATATACGGATAATGGGACCGCGGGTCTAGCAGCGGAGACAAGTGGCCCCTTTCCGATTTTTCCCTAGATTTAGAGAAATTTTATTGGCAACGTCGCACATTATTAGTTTCGACAACGTCGCACGTACCTGTCATCTCGTATGGGGTATCTCATTTCAGGTTATGAGTTCACGTAAATGCCCCGCCTCCCCCCCCCCCCCCCCCCGAAGAAAATGGGGCCACGGGTCTAGCAGCGGGGGCAAACATGTGGCCCCTTTGCTATCGTCACTTGGGTTAGTTCTCTTCAAATTGGGGCTTGCTACTTGGGTTGGGCCTCTTCAAATTGGGGCTTGCCAAAAAAAATGGAGCTCACGGAAAAAATGGGGCCCCTTTGCTGGCGTCACTTGTGTTAGGCTTCTTTAAATTGGGGCTTGCCAAAAAATGGGGCTCACCGGCTCACGAAAAAATGGGGGCCCTTTGCTGACGTCACTTGGGTTAGGCTTCTTTAAATTGGGGCTTGCTACTTGGGTTAGGCCTCTTCAAATTGGGGCTTGCCCACGAAAAAATGGGGCACAGGCCCACCTGGGTTAGGCCCCTTCAATTTGGGGCTTCTCTGATGACGGGCGCGGGCCCCAGAACGAGTGTGACGTCACTTCCGCTGTGGAATCCGCCTTGTTACTCTACTCTTGTTTCACTACTTAACCAATTAATCACAAATTCTTATATAGTGCAGTCAACAATCTGAAAAAAATTGGCCTAGACCATCGGGACAACCAGTGAGCCACCTAACAAAAAACTTCGTCGGCGGTTCGATGTACGTGCTTCTAATTTTGACCATAATTTTTCCGTTTTTGCTATTCTCCTTCAGTTCTACCATAAGCAAAGCGACTTATCCTAAAAGAATCACGATGGAATTGTACATAGGCAGAGCTCAGCCTGCCTTCATGGCTGTTGCCAGCACAGAAAAAATGCTTGTGTATGTCAACTGAAGTTTGTTTAATTAATTATTGATTTATTTGGATTTAGATTGGAAAAAAAACAATACAAGAATTTGACGTCGACATTTAACAACATCGAAGTTTCTCAAGATATTTTCGGATCGTTCTATGCTGAGGATGTTTTAGTGGTCAAATGGTCCACACATAGTTTAACTATTTGGGATATATCGCCTGGAAGTAGAGAGGAGCTTCTTGAGGAACTACGAAGCAATGAGGATTTTATAGTTCGCTTGGAAATAAGTTACATCCACATAGGTGACGGTGGAAAAACGAGCGAAAGATCTTTTGGAAAAAGTACCATTATTCCACCTCTTCCTGCACTTGATAGGAAAAGACTAATACAAATGGTTGAAACTGATACTGATACACAAACGGTTGTACGTTTGCCGCTTTTATTTCCCAAATTTCTTTTGATCAAGAAAGACTCATTACCAGAATCGTTGCCTTTAATGGAAGATCCCAATAAGGAACTGCAAGGTTTTGACCAAAAAGATAATAAAGAAATGCTTCCCGATCCAAGAAGAATGAGAAATTTGCTTGTTAGGCTTAATGCAAATGATAGTAAATGGTGGCAAATGAGAGAAGAATGCTCTATAAATGACGATAATTATTTGTATTACCTCAAGGATTTAGTATTAAACGATTGCGATGAAATTGTTTTGTATGTTTTTAATGAAAAAGTTTTACCTGGGACTTTTTTGAAAATGGTACAATATGGGTAAGAAATTTTAGGTATTATATTTATATGTAATAATTATAATTTATTTATCTATTATATAGAATCCTTGGACTTTACATTATATACTTTATGGTAATCGTGGAAATAATCAAATCACTTATAACCAAAATCGATGACATTTGGTTACTGAATCTACCAGACGTTGACAAAGTGTTGAGGGTATGTATGAAAATCTATTTAAAATAAAATCGAAAACACACATATAAATTTTTCAGAAATGTATGGAAGTTTACGTCGTTAGAGACATGAAAAATTACGAGCTAGAAAGTGCACTTTTCGACGAATTAATTTACATTATGAGATCCAGAGAAACGCTCATTAAACTTACCAGATACGAGGACAGCGATTACGATCCTACGTTTATTACTCCTGGATCGTCCATGAATTAAGGAAATGTTTCAGAAATGTATTGTTAATAATTAAATATAACGTTTTTTATTGATGAAGTTTTTTGAATTAGAAGGCTTTGTTGACCATTGGATTTTGATACATTTTCAATTCAAGTTTCGGATGTTTGAGCTTCTCCAATTGAATATTACGTCTATGTAGCGGTTCTTGGCTGGATTTCATATATATACATGTCGTTTTAGAACGTCTTTCTTCGTTGTCCGACACCTAATTTCCATCCTCTTCTATCGTCGCAATCCTCTGATGACAGATTTCTTTCACTCATGGACTTTGGTATGGTTTTCTGCCATTCCAGTTTTGGTCTTCCTCGTTTTCTTCTACCTGTTGATTGCCAATGCAGCATTTTTCTGGGCCACCTGTCATTTGGCATTCGTTCTACGTGTCCGTACCAGGTAAGTTTTTTCTTTTCAATGTCCTGGACTATCGTACCTTCTATACCCATTTGTTGTTTTATATTGTCGTTCCTTATTCTCTCTCTTCGTGAGATTCGCATGGATCTTCTGATAGCATTCATTTCAACTGCTTCCAGTGTGTTGGAAACATGTTCCAACAATCATGCTATCTCTTTTTGATGGCAAAATATTTTTATACATATAAAGTTTGCAACACTGCAGCGTTGTCGTCATGTCTATTTTGTCATGTCTGTCAATATATTGCGCGCCATTTTTGTCATTGCAGCAGTGTAGCTTGGAGCTTGTCCACGTTAACAAGCATCCAGAAACCTTTTCACATTTTAATAAATTTTATAATCTAGCTCTGCCCTGTTGGGCATCTAAGCAAGCTCTGGCTTCTTGTCATCTTGTAGTAGTAATTGTAAATAGTGTAAATATTGTGTAAATTGTTGTAAATATAGTGTCAGTGAAAAGCGCGTGTGTTTTAGTTCCCTATCCAGTCGATCATCCAGTCCACCTAATTATACAGTCCACTAATTATCAAGTTATTTATCTTCCATTATGTGGTTTTGCACATAATTTTGGCCAGTTCGAGCCGGATACTGGATAGTTCGGAACCTAAAAGTGCTTTAAAAACCCTCAAAAAGTGCCTTTTTAGTGGTTATTGATTGTTCCATCGTGATTATTGGCGCCATGTGATGCAAAAAATCAATCATCCACTGTGCAGTCTGCACGTGTCTCAAACAACGTTGGGTTCCACGTGCCACCAGCGAAGGTTTCCGCCGGAACCGGAAGTGCGTAAGTAGAGTGGGGCGGAGCAAACAAACTTCACTTGTCAAATTCAAAAGGGTGCTTCTTTTTCTCGTCTGGTTCAACCCAAGTCACCCCGGGTGCAGTATCCTTGCTTGGTGCAATGAAGTACAGCCCCGGAGCAACGAACATGAAAGTGAGAGTTCACCACCCCGACAGCTTAACCTCAAATTAAATGTCAAACATTTGTTTACGTTTTGTTGTTTGTTGTTTGTGTATTTTGGATTTTTGCAGTGAATTTGGGTGAATTTGCATTATTTTTGAAAAACTGAATTTTTCGCATTAATTATTGCTATTTTTTCATTATTTATTTAAAGGATGAACAATTATCCGTTTTTCGTTTTGTTAAGTAGTTTTTAAAAAAAAAAATCTAATTTATTAGGTAATTTTAAATTTTGTTTATAGATTTCTTTTGATATTTTCTTATTTTTTTGATTGTAAACTTTGTAAATATGGCTACCAAAAAGCAAATTGATAAATTATTGTCAAAGAAAAAGCAAGCAATCGACTCCATGGTTAGAATAAGTCGTTATATTTCCGATCACAAATCTGATCCTGACAGTGAGTATAAAACCGACCAATTTTTAGTTCGGAAGGAAATATTGCAGGACAGTTTTCAAAAGCTTAAAGACATTCAAGTTGAAATTCTGTGCCTTGATGGTAACTATGATGATTCAATTGATGATGTAGAAACTCTTTTTTATGATGTCATTGTAAGTATTAAAAATTGTTTACCTAAACCTCAATTATTGGCTCATAAATGGAATAAGATTAATTAAAAAAGAGCTACACAAATGTGTGATTTGCTTTAAATTCAAAGCAAAATGTTCCACTCAATTAATGGGTTCCTTGCCGGAAAAAAGAGTCTGTTCAGCCAGAGTGTTTCAAAATGTCGGGGTAGATTTTTGCGGTCCCTTCCTCGTTAAGCAATCTCGAATTAGAAAATCCGTAAGTTCCAAGGCATACATAGCACTTTTTGTGTGCTTTTCAGTCAAAGCAATTCATATGGAACTGCTTTCAGACCTGACAACCGAAAATTTTCTAGCTGCTCTGAAGCGTTTTATTTCGCGGAGGGGGAAGCCCGCAAATATTTTCTGCGACAATGGTTCCACGTTTAAAGGAGCCGAGAATAAAATCAAAGAGTTTTATAACGAAACAGAAAAAATTGAAAATTATTCCCTTCAGGAAAAAATTACATTTAATTTTATACCGAGCTATTCTCCAGTTTTTGGTGGTTTATGGGAAGCTGGAGTAAAATCGGCAAAATTTCACATCAAGCGAGTCATAGGTAGCAATGAGCTTACCTATGAACAATTTAATACTCTTATTGTCCAAGTAGAAGGAATTTTAAATTCCCGACCACTTGTAGCCTTGTCACAAGATCCTTCAGATTTGGACTATTTGACCCCTGGTCATTTTTTGATAGGTGCGCCTATCACAAGCTTTCCTGACCCTGATTTGACGGAAATTCCCCAAGGTCGACTTAAGTTTTGGAAATTGTGTGTCCAGATGCAGCAGCATTTTTGGAAAAAGTGGTATCACGACTATCTAACGCAACTCCAAAATAGGCCAAAATGGCGTGATGAGATGCCTAACCTTAGGGAGGGCTTGTTAGTCATTTTAAAAGAGGATAATGTACCTTCTTATAAGTGGCCAATGGCAAGAATAGTTAAAGCAATACCTGGAAAGGACGGCAAAGTAAGGGTTGTCGAAGTGAAAACCAAAAAAGGTATTTATCTCAGATCGGTTACCAAGATTGCAGTGTTACCGATTGATGACAATAATTGTTAATAATATTTTTGAAAATTATTCACAAAATTCTGTACATATATTTGTAAAACATTTAGATTTATATTTATATTCAATTAGCTATACTCGTATATACATACATAATGTCATACTATGTGTTCCAGAAATGTTTTTAGCTTTAATTGTTAGTTAAGTTTTCGTTTACTGGATCATCATTGAAATCATACCTTTTTTTAAAAAAAGGGTTGCTTACTTTCTCTTTAATTTTTTTATTTTTTTTTGCTGGAAAATTTTACCTTGGTTTCATGTGAAACTCTAGGCCCCCCAGCATGTTGGAAACATGTTCCAACAATCATGCTATCTCTTTTTGATGGCAAAATATTTTTATACATATAAAGTTTGCAACACTGCAGCGTTGTCGTCATGTCTATTTTGTCATGTCTGTCAATATATTGCGCGCCATTTTTGTCATTGCAGCAGTGTAGCTTGGAGCTTGTCCACGTTAACAAGCATCCAGAAACCTTTTCACATTTTAATAAATTTTATAATCTAGCTCTGCCCTGTTGGGCATCTAAGCAAGCTCTGGCTTCTTGTCATCTTGTAGTAGTAATTGTAAATAGTGTAAATATTGTGTAAATTGTTGTAAATATAGTGTCAGTGAAAAGCGCGTGTGTTTTAGTTCCCTATCCAGTCGATCATCCAGTCCACCTAATTATACAGTCCACTAATTATCAAGTTATTTATCTTCCATTATGTGGTTTTGCACACAGTGGCGGATCTAGCATGAAGCAAACGACGCACTCTGCGTCAGGCCCCCAGAGCTGAGGGGCCCCCACACAACCAGATTCTAAAGAGACCGCTAAAAACGAATAAAAAAAATATGCTCGTAGATATAAAAGAAAAAATCGAAAATTAAATTTTGAAAGAGACGGCAACGTTGTCCAGGATGCCTATTCTCGAAACCGGGAAGAAACGTTCTCACGAGAAAGAACGATTGCTCTGTCTTTGTCAGTTTTATGGAAATAGAAATATGGGCAATTAAGACAGAACCTTCGTTCTCATTTCTCGCTAGTCGCTTATCCCCAGTTTTGAAAATAGATAACCTATAGGGAATCCAGAGCCGTTTTCTCGCATCCACTTTTTTGACATTGGTTTAAAACCATTTTGAAACGGCTAGTAAAACTAAGGTGTTTACATGGGGCAACCCGGAACAAATTTGGGACAAGCTGAAATTTTCAGGATACCTTCTTTAGGTGGTCGATAATGTTTCCTTAAAAATCGCACTAAATCGCATGGGCCGTACTCGCCCAATCGGGCTTCAAACTCAAAAAATTCTGTTTTTTTTAATTTCTTTGGAAATATCTCAAAAACTATAAAGTTTTTCAAAAATAAAAATAAAAATACCTACAAAATCGTTTTTTGTTTTTGAAAATCGGCCTAAAAACAAAGAACTTATGGGTCTTTAAATAATGGGCTAATACGGCTTGAGCTCCAATTATATCTAAAAATTGAAAAACACATGATACCTACCTGTTCATGAGGACGTAGCGCTACAATAGCGATCATCAGCAGTGTTGCCAAGTTATTACAATTGTAGCAACTTTGAACTTATAATGATGAAAGCAGTCTACAAAATTATACTGAAAACCTCAATTCTTGTGATCTTACAACATTCAAACTTATAGCTGCAAAAATTCGTTAGAAAATTGTTGAAAAATTTAACATATCAAATTCTAGCAAAACTTCTAAACTCTGGTATCAATATTGGAACATGATCGAACTAGCCCTCATGTTTATAAGATCTGAAAGATTGGGTGACATTGAGTTGTTATAAAGAAATGCTTCTTTTTTTCCATGCTGCCGGTCATCTTTCCTATGCTAAATCACTCCATCTTTATTTAGAAAATATTCTAAAACTTCAAAATCAGATCTCTGAGGAAGAATATTGCATGTTTTTTACAAAAGGAGCCTTTGCAGTTAGAAGAACTGACAAACTCTGGTCTGGGACATGGACAGATATGATAATAGAGCAAGAATGAATGCGTTCTATATTCTATAAAAACTGTAGGAGGTCTTACTCAAGGAAGAGGACTTACTGGAAACACATTTTCTAGGTGGATATCGTCTATGCCCCAGTGCTCCCTAATAAGTGATACTTAGTATTGAAAAGTTTGCAAATGTCGTACCAACTTTTTCAGAACAGCATAAAGAAGTTTGAAGAACTATAAGGATTTAAAAATATTGCTGGATTGGTTTTCAGAGCACACACCCTTCGACAAAAATAAAAAAGCAAAACTTTTATTAAATTTTGTGTTAATGAAGTGAGTAGGTGCCTGTACTTGTATATGACCATATGACAAGGTCACAACTTTTGTACCGAATTTCATAAAAAATACAACTGGTCT